GGACCTGTGCACATACTGCACTGATCCTGGACCTGTGCACTACTGTACTGATCCTGGACCTGTGCACTACTGCACTGATCCAGGACCTATGCACATACTGCACTGATCCTGGACCTGTGCACTACTGCACTGAACCTGAACCGGTGCACTACTGCACTGATCCTGGACCTGTGCACTACTGCAGTGATCCTGGGCCAGTGCACATACTGCATTGATCCTGGACCTGTGCACTACTGCACTGATCCTGGACCAGTGCACTACTGCACTGATCCTGGACCAGTGCAAATACTGCACTGATCCTGGACCTGTGCACTACTGTACTGATCCTGGACTGGTGCAATACTGCACTGAACCTGGACCAGTGCACCACTGCACTGATCCAGGACCGGTGCACATACTGCACTGATCCAGGACCGGTGCACATACTGCACTGATCCAGGACCGGTGCACTACTGCACTGATCCAGGACCGGTGCACATACTGCACTGATCCAGGACCGGTGCACTACTGCACTGATCCTGGACTGAAGCACAACTTCATGGATCCTGGACTTGTGCATTACTGCATGGATCCTGAACCGGGGCATATACTGCATGGATCCTGGACTGGTGCATATACTGCATGGAACCTGGACTGGTGCAATACTGCATGGATCCTGGACCAGTGCACATACTGCACTGATCCTGGATCGTGCACCTACTGCATGGATCCTGGACCGGTGCATATACTGCATGGATCCTGGACTGGTGCAATACTGCATGGATCCTGGACTGGTGCACATACTGCATTGATCCTGGACCATCCTGGGACAGTGTATATACTGCACTTGCAGTCTGCTTAGGAAATTGGATGCCCATATTAGGAAAACAGAACCAGCCTCTTATTATAAGATAATCACTATAAAAATTATGGTTGCTGGAATTTAATCCAATGTTTTTCTTTCTTGTAGTTTTGTTTTAGATTATGGCTTTAATCATTATGTTCTCCACAGACGTAATGATAGCACAACCTGCCCTGACTCCCCCCCCTCCCCCGCAATTTTATCTGTTCCTCTGCATCGTTGACCCAACCGTCAGTCAATCCAGTTTCTTCTTACTATCAC